GGGATGAACTTTGAATATGATGTAGCCTCCTCCCTAGGAGTACAGGATCTGGGCAAATTGGGTGCTGTGCATCTATTTTTTGATGACTTTACTTTTTCTGCTTCCTTTAAAAGAAAAGGCATCAAATTAATACTGAGGCCATTTCATACTTTCTCTTAAATTTTTATTGTTTCTTTTAATACAAAGAATCCACTTACACTTCTTTGCATTGAATTCACTGTTTAAAATATTTGGTTCTTAATTGTTCATGATTCTCTGATTACCTGTGTTACCATCTTCTTATATTACTTTCAGATGGTATTATTTGCATGTATGTTGTCCCTAACCGGATTATTAACTGAGGTCAGTAATCTTGTTTTAAACCTTTCTGGAGTGCTGAAAACAAGCACTTGCACTCAGGAAAGTTCAATCATTACTCCTTGTTCAGTCCAAGTATTTTTGATGGGTCAACATACTTAAAGTATTAAAATTAAAAGACTAATTCACTCATTCATACAATGGAAAATTATTCAGTATCTACTGTATGTTAGCCATTATACTGAAAATATGAGTACTGTAGTAGATTTAATAAAGACCCATGAGTCTAGTGTTTGGTTCTGCAATTAAGTTACCACTTGGGATGCCCATATCCTTTATCAGAGTGTCTATGTTCAAGTCCCCACTCCTCTACTTCCAATTCAGCTTACTACTAATGCACACCCTTAGAGGTTATAGTTCAAGTAGCTGGTTCCGTACTACCAACAAAGGGAAACCCAAATTGAATTCTGGGATTCTGGCTTCTGCTGGGAGATTTGTGGACATTTAGAAAGTGAACTAGAAGATGAAATGAAGATCTCTTTCAAATAAAATGAAAACAAAATTTTTTTGAAAAAGATCCTGGCACCTTGGGAACTTTTAAACTAGAGGGGAAAAAGGTGATGATATAGTGTTGAGAAATAATCAAACAGCCTAAGAGAACAGACAGAGACACCAATAATCAAAGGAGGGATCTCTGAACAGATGACATCAGAGGTCTACCTGCTCACTAAGTGCAGCATGTAGAACAATGGGCTAACAGTTCAATTCCCTTGGTGAGTTTAAGACACAGCAAGAAAACTCTACCATCTGGGTTGGAGAGTGGGAAGGGGATAGAGTACAAGAAACCCATTAAGTAATACTTGAAACTCTTCATGGGCCTGCCCCACTCATTAAGCAGTCTGTGATTTAGGGGGATATTGTCAGTTTGGGTAGGAATGCCTGTCTTCATTCACATATCAGATTATTATGAACCATGAGCATTTATGCAAACTCAGGTTTATTATTTTAAATGCTCAGTCACTGCTGTCAAGTCTTCCAGGGGGTTCTTCTAAACAACCTCATTTTTTTTTCTTCTCTAGCTTTCCTGCAATAATATGGACTCAAATACTGCTTCAAAATATAGGGCAAAACTAAACTGAATAAATAAGGTGAATACAAAACTTTACTAAGAAATTTTATTTTGTTTTTCTCAAAAGTTCATATCCAAGAAGATAAAAAAACTGATCACATGAAACAGACAAAAGATTTTCAAACCTGCCTTAATGGATATGTGTGCTTCTTTATCCATATATGGAAGACTATGCATTCGTTACAAGATCATGTGAAGCATTTACTGAGAATCACAAATCAAGGATCAGCAAATCTTACAGAAAACCCAACAAACGAAGTTTTATAAACATGACATAATTCATCTAGAAATCCCTATTTTTAAAAAAAAATCAGAAAATCCCCATGGATTAGATCTCTATGTTGGAAATAAGGATATAAATGAAATAAAGTTAAAACATATCAACATTAAGAGCAACTGTTTAAGAGATATGTATAGGCTTGAAAGGTATCTGCTGAAAATGAATACTTAAAAATAATGAGCTTCACATTGATTTCAATAAAGTAGACTTAAAACCATCACATTAAACTCCAAAAAAATCTAAGACCAAGCACTGTGGGAGAAACTTATCAAGTAACACACACACGCACACGCACACGCACACGCACGCACAGAAAACAAAGGATCACTGCCAATAGTTCTTTGAAAAGACTAATAAACTGATAAACCACTGGTGAACAAGTCAAAGAGAGGGACGATTCAACCCATATTAGAAATGACAAAAGGAACATCTTGCAGACATTAAAAAGATTTAGAGAATATTATGAACAGTTGATGACAATAAATATAAATTTAGGACAAATGGACAAATTCCCAGAAATATCTAACTATGACTCAAGGAGAGAGCGGAAATATGAATAATCTTACAGTCATGAAAAACTGAATTAATAATGAAGTCTCCCCACAGCTAAACTCCAGGCACAAATGGCTTCACTGGCCACATTTCCAAATATAATTTATTATTATTCTAAAAGGTTAGCCTAACTTCGACACCAAAACCAAGGGGACAGTAACTAAAAGAAAAACCACAGGTTTATTATCATAAACAAGGAAGAAAAAAATTCCCAGAAGTAGCAAATGAAATACAACAATATATATATAAAGGATAGCACATTTGCATTATTTGTTAATTTTCCTTTTATTTGGAAAGCAAAGAGACCGAAAAAACAAATGACCTTCTATATACTGGTTTATTCTTCAAATGCCCACACAGCCACAAGTGGGCCAGGCCAAAGCCAGGCACCTGAATCTCAATCAGGTCTCCCATCTGGGTGACAGGGACCCAAGCACCTGAGCCATCACTTGCTTCACAGAATTTTTAGATTCCAAAAATATACATAATATGCAGAATGACAGTTTTCCCCAATACTTAATCTCTAAACCTAGTTAAGACAAAAATTTGTTCTGACATAGAACATACAACATGGATACATAAAGATGACGGTGTCAATTATGTATGTACTAAAATATGAACATGATGCTATCACATTATTATTTTTTTTTTTTTTTTGCCAGGCAGAGTTAGACAGTGTGAGAGAGAAACAGAAAGAGAGTTATAAACAGTGAGAGAGAGAGACAGAAAGGTCTTCCTTCCTTTGGCTCACTCCCCTAATGGCTGCTACGGCTGGCGCTGCGCCGATCCGAAGCCAGGAGCCGGGTACTTGCTCCCAGTCTCCCATGCGGGTACAGGGACCCAAGCACTTGGGCTATCCTCCACTGCACTCCTAGGCCACAGCAGAGAGCTGGACTGGAAGAGGAGCAACCGGGACAGAATCCGGCACCCCAACAGGGACTAGAACCCGGTGTGCCGGCGCCGCAAGGCGGAGGATTAGCCTAGTGAGCCACAGCGCGGGCCAACTATCACATTATTTGTCCAGATATTAGATTGTAAAAACTCATACACAAAAAGCTTCCAGCAATCTGAACTGAATACTCAAAGTATCTGTTTTACATAGGTTACCAAGCCTCCACCAAAAATATTACACAGAATATATAACAAAACTTCTAACTTCAAGTTACTGGTTTTAAATGCTGAATTTTTATCCTTTTTCAAAATATGGGTCCTATACATATTATAAAAACTGCATTCAACTGGGATTAAACATGACAATAGGTCTGCTCTGATTTCATCATCATTTTAAAAAATCATCTATTATTTTTCACTTTATGTTTCTGTGTGGGAGCAAACTGTTGAAATCCATACTTGATGTATACTAAGCTGATCTTCTGTATATTAAGATAATCGAAAATGAATCTTGATGTGAATGGAAGGGGAGAGGGAGTGGGAAAGGGGAGGGTTGTGGGTGGGAGGGACGGTATGGGGGGGAAGCCATTGTAATCCATAAGTCGTACTTTGGAAATTTATATGCATTAAATAAAAGTTTAAAAAAAAAAAAAACTGCATTCAAAATCATAGCATCTCAAACTCATTGATTAAAAAGAATTAAAAATGGCATTACTGGACACATTACAAAATCACTGAAGTAGTAACACTTTAAAAATACAGTTTTGATGTAGCTGTATTGGTCTGACATTCCTCTGTGCCTAGAATCTATCCTCTCAATTCTATTTTCAGACTTTTGGTCATTTCTCTGATAGCAATGCCAATAAAGCCGCCAGTTGCCATTAATCTCAATTCCGCAAAAGAATAAATCTTTCCCACAAGCAATTAAAACAATAGACACATTAAAACAAGACCAATTAGAGCTAAGTCTAGACATTTACTACATAGTTATAAGACAGACCTGTCATAATCATTCCAACTTTAACTGGAAGTTTCCTTAATAATTCTTTCCAATAGAAGGAAGACTGAGATTATGTTTTACCAGTACCCAAATTCAGCAGTTTAAATTGAAATACTCTATCCATCAAGAATTTCAATTGTAGGTCTATAAAATATCCCTGTTTGATTAGTGTTCTTTGCCCTGGATTGGTCCTAAAGATTGTTTGCCAGTAATCCGCTATGCCTAACACACTTGGTTTTCAATCACTTCCACATTTTTAACACATTGCCTTGCAAAGACAAAGGGTTCATAGGTAGTGGATGCATACGATTTTTCCCCTTCAGTAGTTATCTCTATACTGTCAAGTGATTATAAGATGTTTTAATAATTTGGGCCTTTGTAGAAATCAATACTCTGAGGGCTTCTTGAACCCAATAGGCAATCTTCAAAAATCTGTTATTGTTTCATACATTACTTGGTAATGCTGAACTATGAGTATATGGATGGATTTATATAATTTTCAGAGGAGCTATGAATAAATTTTTAGTCTATCATCTGGAGTTTTTATGTCGACTGTCCAGTTACATATACCATATTCTGCTGCCCAGAAAACAATCATTCCCTTATTAAGGAAGCTGAGAATTAATATTGTTTATCAAATAATTTGCAGGCAGCACAAATACCGTTCCTTCCACTCGAGTAACAGAGCAACAGCTTTGCTCATTAAAGCAGTCATGAGAGGGATAGGCTGTGGCAAGGCAAAGAAATTAGGGCGGAGGAGGGGGCTTGATTGGTCCCATAGCCTGTTTTCTGCAATAACAGAGTATTAGAGACTACATAATTTATAACTTAAGTAAATGTGTGTGGCTCACAGTTCTGGAGACCGGGAAGTCCTAGAGTACAGTGTTGGCATTTAGCGAGGGCCACCATGCTGCATCATCCTATGGCAGAAGACAAAATAGCAAAATAGGGTGAGAATCAGAGCAAGGGCCAAAACCTTTATAACAAAGCCACTCTGACAACAATGCAATGCATTCATGAGGGCAGAGTCGTTGCACCCTAATCACATTTTGTAAGACTCTACCTCCTAATACCATTACATAGAGGATTATGCTTCCAACACATAAACTTTGGGGACACATTAAAACATACTAACGTGGTAAATGGAGCCCTCACTGAAAAGTCAAGCAAAATCTGAAATGTCCAGCTGCAGCAAATGTGTTATGGAATTATGAAATGGCATGCTTTCATATTTTGCCATTCATAAGAATATTTTCCATAAAGGCCAATATCACGGGGAAAATGCAGAAATTGCCCTGTGCTAAAAGCCAGTGAAAGAGCGTCAAAAGCAAAGCAGAGGCTAGTACAAGTACAGAAGAGAAAACCCACTCCAGTTGGGGTTCAGCCAAATACAAGTAAGCTTGAGTTAGTTAAGAACACATACCCAACCACTATACATCAACAAATATACATCAAGTTGTAAGTGGACCATGATTACCAGAAGGTTCACAAACGATCTCAATTGCAAGAAAAATATCTTGTACATGTACTTACAAAGCAACTTTCTAGAAAAAGAGTTCACAGAATTTGTAAAGACAATTTCAGATACACACTGTATTGCAGAATGTTTAACATATTTGAGACGTATGTCTCATTTAATTCTAAATCTCATCAGAATAATCCTTTTCCATACAGATGAAAGAAGAGACTTCATTAGGGTTATGTAATGTAATATTTAAGGGCTTAAAAAAAGTTCGGGTGAACTTATTTTTTTCATCTAACCATATCAAGCATTAGAAATAGTACACCTTAAAAATAACTAAGGAAACTATGCCACATTTTTACCAGTCATTGCTCATTGGTTTAGGGAGTTAGGAACACAATGATAGGAACATGAACTTTTAATTGCAGTTGCACCATTCTCTAGACTTGCTCTGTCACCTTTCACATACCAGATCTTGCTGTGACATTTTAAAATGCCTTTTCCAATAGGCGTTTCCAATAGTCCAAGAGGGACTAATTTAAAGTAAACTTTATGTTTCCATGTACATATAACAGATATATATTTCACATGGAATTGAAGTAAAGGACAAGAAAACTGTAATGTAACAAATATGAAAAATTGCTCATTCCACTCCTGATAATTAGCCCAGGCCTATTAAATAAAGTCCTTAAAGAAATGAAGTTCAGGGGCCAGTGCTGTGGCTTACTTGGTTAATCCTCCGCCTGCAGCACTGGCATCCCATATGGGCACCGGGTTCTAGTCCCAGTTGTTCCTCTTCCAATCAAGCTCTCTGCTGTGGCCCGGGAAGGCAGTGGAGGATGGCCCAAGAGCTTGGGCCCCTGCACCCACATGGGAGACCAGGAGGAAGCACCTGGCTCCTGGCTTCAGATGGGCATAGCTCCAGCTGTAGCAGCCATTTAGGGGGTGAACCAATGAAGGAAGACCTTTCCCTCTGTCTCTCTCTGTCAAATAAATAAAAACATAATTTTAAAAAAAAGAAATGAAGTTCAAAAAATATATATCTAAGCCTACAATCAGGAGAAATCATTAATAGAAATTGAAAATGAAACTTGGTGCCACACTTCATTTCTCTATGTCCCTGGAAATCACAGAAGCTGGAAAAAAATGTATGCTGCAACACTCTAAGTTATGGTGTTCTGGATTAATATACAGTCACCAACGTACTAAAGTTTAAGATTTTTGTGAAATACACTTCACCTTCATGTATCAACATCAAAATTAATCAAATTAATCAACATTACTGTTCAATTCTCTTTACTTGTAAAGAAACAAGATACATTTAACCTCAATAACTGGAACATTACACTGTTTAACCTGTTTACAGCATCACTGTAGTCAGAAAATACTACAGATCAAGGCTTACCTCCAAATCCTGACACACATATCCATGATTAATTTTAATTCATTTATTATTCATTGTTTCCTGAATACATGCTAGTGACCATAGACCAACCTTGCTCTTAACTTTGGCAAAGACCTCATTTCTTTGTGTCAGATCCAATTGATCTTAGATAAGTAAATTAACTTGCTGCCTAATTTTTTCCTGCTTTAAAAATTTAACTGACAGGGCCACCACTGTGGCACAGTGAGTTAAGCATCCACCTGAAGCACTGGCATCCCATATGGATGCCAGTTCAAGTCCCGGATGTTCCACTTCTGGTCCAGCTCCCTCTTGATGGCCTGGGAAAGCAGAAGATGGCCCAAGCGCTTGAGCACCTGCACCCATGTGGGAGATCCAGAAGAAGTTCCTGGCTCCTGGCTTCAGATCAGCCAGTTCCTGCCATTGTGTCTATCTGGGAAGTGAACCAGTGCAAGGAAGATCTCCACCTCGCATTCTGTCTGTAACTCTGTCTCTCAAGTAAATAAGCAAATTTTAAAAATATATGTGTCTAGCCGGCGCCGCAGCTCACTAGGCTAATCCTCCACCTTGTGGCGCCGGCACACCGGGTTCTAGTCCCGGTCAGGGCGCTGGATTCTGTCCCGGTTGCCCCTCTTCCAGGCCAGCTCTCTGCTGTGGCCTGGGAGGGCAGTGGAGGATGGCCCAAGTGCTTGGGCCCTGCACCCCATGGGAGACCAGGATAAGTACCTGGCTCCTGCCATCGGATCAGCGTGGTGCGCCATCCACGGCAGCCATTGGAGGGTGAACCAATGGCAAAAGGAAGACCTTTCTCTCTGTCTCTCTCTCTCACTGTCCACTCTTCCTGTCAAAATATATGTATATATATATTTGTGTGTGTGTGTCTGGTGTATACATACACTATATAATACTACTCTGTCATAAAAAAGAATGAAATCCTGTTTTTGAGACAAAATGGATAAAATTGGAAACCGTTATGCTTAATGAAAGAAGCCAGTTCCAAAAATACACTTTCTCTGATTTGTGGTAATTAATACACAAAGCACAAAAATATAATGTATATAAGAGATCAAGAAACTCCACAACAACAAAACAAACAACCACTTAAGAGATGGGCCAAGGACCTAAGTAGACATTTTTCAAAAGAGGAAATCCAAACGGCCAATAGACACATGAAAAAATGTTCAGGATCACTAGCAATCAGGGAAATGCAAATCAAAACCACAATGAGGTTTCACCTCACCCTGGTCACAATGGCTTACATACAGAAATCTACCAACAACAGATGCTGGCGAGGATGTGGGGAAAAAGGCACACTAATCCACTGATGGTGGGAATGCAAAATGGGAAAGCCAATATGGAAGACAGTTTGGAGATTCCACAGAAACCTGAATATAGCCCTACCACATGACCCAGCCATCCCACTCCTTGGAATTTACCCAAAGGAAATTAAATTGGCAAATAAAAGAGCTGTCTGCACCTCCATGTTTACTGCAGCTCATTCACAATAGCTAAGACCTGGAATCAACCCAAATGCCTACCAACAGAAAACTGGATAAAGAAATTAATGGATATGTAACCTATAGAATACAATACAGTAGTAAAAAAAATGAAATCCGGTCATTTGCAACAAAATGGAGAAATCTGGAAAACATCATGCTGAGTGAAATAAGCCAGTCCCAAAGGGACAAATATCATATGTGCTCCCTGATCAGTGACAACTAACTGAGCACCTAAAAGGAAACCTGTTGAAGTGAAATGGACACTATGAGAAACAGTGACTTGATCAGCCCTTGTCCTGACTATCGAGGAACAACTTACTATTTTATTCCTTTTAGTATTTTTTGTTCTACTTAATACCATTGGTCGAACTCTTTAATTAACACACAAGTATTCTTAGGCTTTTAAAATTAACTGAAAAGTGATCCCTGTTAAATATAAGAGTGGGAATAAGAGAGGGAGGAGATGTACAGTTCGTCACATGCTCACTTGGACTTACCCCTAATGGTAGAGCTAGAAACATGCCAGGGGATTCCAATTCAAACCCATCAAGGAGGCATGTACCAATGCCATCTTACTAGTCAAAGTGATCAGTTTCAATTCACAATTGATCATAATGATAGGATTAAGTGTCAAAGGGATCACATAAACAAGACTAGTGTCTGCAAATGCTAACTGATAGAATTAAAAAGGAGAGAACAATCCAACATGGGAAGTGGGATACACAGCAGACTCCTACAATGGCAGATGTCCTAAACAGCACTCTGGCCTCAGAATCAGCCCTTAAGGCATTCACATCTGGCTAAAAAGCCCATGAGAATATTTTAGGCATGGAAAGCCAAGACTCTGTGGCAAAAAAAAAAATGACCTAAATGAAAGATCTCTGTGAATGAGATCCCAGCAGAAAGAATGGGTCATCAAAGAAGGAGGCACCTTTCTCTGAAGGGTGGAGAGAACTTCCACTTTGACTATGGCCTTGTCTAAATAAGTTCGGAGTTAGCAAACTCAAGAGTCTTCCATAGCCTTGGCAGCTCATGCCAACAGCCTAGGTTGATTACTGATGTCATAAATAAGAGTGTCAATTGTTAAATCAACAACAGGAATCACTGTAAAACTTACTCCCCATGTAGGATCTCCTTCCTTAATGTGTTGTACTATGCGAATTAATGGTAAACTGCTACTCAAGCAGTACTTTATACTTTGTGTTTCTGTGTGGGTGTGAACTGTTGAAATCTTTACTTAGTATATACTGAGTTGATCTTCTGTATATAAATATAATTCAAAATGAATCTTGATGAAGAATGGGATGGGAGAGGGAGTGGGGGATGGGATGGTTCCCAGTGGGAGGGAGATTATGAGGAGAAAAGCCGCTATAATCCAAAAGTTGTACTTTGGAAATTTATATTTATTAAATAAAAGTTTAAAGAAAGAATATACAGAAAAAATATATAATGTATATGAATTAAATTGATATTTTGAAATTTGATTACTGTTTGCAGCCCTTGTCTACACTCTTGAGGAACAGGGGTTTTTCTGGTTACTACTTATTAAATTCTTTA